GTTCCCGAAAATAAATTGGAAATAGTTATGGTTGAGCTCTCACTTCAACAGGCTGCTTAATCTGCCAGATTGCACCCATGGTCCTCTCAATACCCAATAGAGATGCTTTTCTGTCTCCGATGACCTGCCCAAAAAGGCTACGATCACATTCCTCCGCACTGGATGTAATGTCTTCCACATTTAATTCGACCAACCCGCTCTCAGCACCTTCTAGCTCGATATTCCTCAGCTTTTTCTCTATATCATCTGTCAAATCACAGACTGTTGCACCTTGCTCATCTTCGACACCAAACATGGATGCCTGGGATGAAAACCTAAGGACAAATCCTAAGTACACAAGCGAAATAGGGACACTGAGATAAAGCACAAAGAAGCAATACTCAAATCTGAGATCCTCTCAACAAGAGAATATCGATCGAAAGAATCCAAAGATTCAGGAATCATAGGGCACTCCTAACGGGAGAATCGCAGCTCCCATGAGAGAGAATTTTGAAATATCATATTTCCTGCCAGAAAATCGAACATTATATTTTGAAATATCATAATTCACCTTAATTGATCATTTTTTGTTCATATTTATTTAACTACAAAAAAAGTTAAGAAAGAATCTAATATTATGTGCATTCTTAGTATATATCTTTTTTTTTTTTATATACATATCCATTCTTATCATATTCAAATTACAATGATAATCTTGAATATCTCATATTATATATATATATATATATATATATATATAGATTCAAAAAACATGAAGATCATAAAATTAATTTTATTATATATCATGTGTTCAATTTTATTAGTTTGGTTGGGGACACTCATTATATTGAAATAAACAATAAATAATTTTTTATATTTTGTATTTCTTTTCTTACAACAATGAGATGTTAAACATAAATGTTATGTTTAATATAAAAGTTTAGAAAACGTTTTAAGTAAAATGTATGTCCGTACATCGCGCGGGATACACAATAGTCTCAAATGATTACCTCACGACTTTTAAAAGTTATAAAAAAATTCAAAAAATTCAAATTAAATACACAAAGATTCATTATTTTATAATCATATATTATATATTATTCATAAATTGAATATATTATAAATAATTACATTCGAAAACATAAGCTTAAATGAGTTTATGTAATGATATGTTAGTTAATATGTGTATAAATACATAATTCACTTATTTATTATATGAAAAGATTGTAACAAAACAAAAATGTAATATATATTTAAAAAACAATTTTAGTATTATCATAAATAGGAATATTAATATAAATATTATTAATTTTTTATAAAATAATGGCAAGTGATAATATATGATGATATTATCATTTCATTCAGGTCTTATTCTAAACACATCAAGGGAAAAACTTGTTTTATTTAATTCTCATAATCATTTCATTATTCAACTCACTCCATCTATACTTATATTAGAAGCTATACTATTTACTAAATGTAGTATGTAGAATAGTCAACCCTAATTAATGATTTGCTATTTTTATCAAGTATTTAATTAATGCATCTAATATTTTTGGTATGCAAATCAAATTAGAATTTAATTAGTTCCTATACTATTGGATATGCAATATTAATTTAGGAATATCCATGTAATTCCTAAAATGTTGGTATGCAATACGTAAAAGAAGATTTTTTAATTTTTTTAAATATAAAATATTGCAACACATAAAACTATTCCAGTTATTTTTTATTTTATTTTACATATAAAGTTTAATCAATATTTAATGCATCTTACAAAATTGGATTTAGTTTAATTCTCCATACAATTGGTTGTACATTTTTCAGTTGTACTTTATTTATTTATTTATTTTATACTTTTAAATTAATGAAGCTCTCCAAAAATACCAAATCAATGATTTATGAAAGTTTTTTTTTTTTTTACAATTTTAAATCTATATACCCAGCTTAAAAAACTGATCGCATAGATATGGACGAGTTTAAGAAAATTTCATAAATCAACTTATAAAATTTCATCCCCATGAGTCAAAAAAATCACATCCCTCATTTATCGTAACAACTTAAAGGTAAATAAATAAAAGTCTAATTACTACTATAAATCCATTATCTATATATATTTTTTAAAAATCTAAATTTCACCTGTCTAATTACTAATATTTTAGATACTTTTAAATATTATTTGTATAATTTTTTTTACACATTTGCTCTCTATATATATATACATAGATGGAGGTTAAATGAAGAATTTTTAGACATATTTTCCTTACGGGTAGTTTAGAAAAATTTAGGTAGCTTCAAACATTATTTGTGAATAATATCGAATATGTAAGATGCTTTTATAGATATTATAAAATATTTTAAGTATTTTTAATATTTATATATCACACTTAAAAAGAATATTTTGCCAAAAAAATATTAAATACACATTGTAAATGTTAATAGAAACAGTCTTCGGTGTTCATTTTTGATTTTGTCAAAACAAATCTCATAAAATCGGTGAAGTCGAAATTTGTACGTAAAGTCTATCTATACTAAAAAAAATGTAGATTCAAATTTCTTTATCGAATTTTTTCTTTTCCTTATCTAATTCCTTTTTATTATCTAATTGTATAGAAATCTGTTCTGATTTTGTTCAATCCTCTAATTGTATTTGTATTATATCCTATAAAATCAGTTTAACAAAAAAAATCTCATACCATCCGATAAATTAAAAAAAAGTACGTAAAATCTTTACTAAAATAAAAAAGGCTTTATTTATTATCTAATTTATAATCTAATTGTATGAAAATCTGTTCTGATTTTATAGTACGTACTACAAATTGTGCACCCGTGTTCAGGAGCTATTTAACGGGCAAGCTCAGTGGAAATAACTCATTTAGTGCTTCTGTCTCGTGCATACGGTATGTATTTGTATTACACATACTAGAAAATTGTGCATCCCGTGCATCGCACGGACTCTGTACTAATAAATGACTTTAAAATTGTGCACCCCGTGCATCACTTGTGTTCACATTTTGGCCTATTACAGGTCACGTACTATATATCCCCTACATTTTTTTTATTCATTTATATAATTATAAGACTTGATAAATGGTCTTAATTTTGTGCACCCCGTGCATCGCACGGGATCTGTACTAGTTCCTATTAAGTTTCATTCCTGTCATACCAAACATAATTATAGATATAACATTTCATCTGCTTAAGTATGAGACAATTACAATTCTAAAGCTAGTTTACATACTTACTCCTTACAAGCACGGTACAACCATTGATAGACAAACAAAAGTGACCGTCAACTTCTCATCTAATGACAAAATAAACCAACCCGAAATTTTTAGCTTTATATATATGCCCATTTGTTTTGTAAAGAGGACCGAGCGTTCAGAACAAGAAGCAATGAAACAAAGATTGTAACTGTAACTGCACACAAACACATCTCCACAAAACCAGATTTAGTATTTACTCAAAAACAATTGATCAGTAGTAGTACGTAATCATAAGAAAACTGAGATGACATTACCCACAAAATATCTAATGATCATCAACTCCTCCAAGCCCATATAACCGAGCTTTACGTTTGCCAACACGAGCAACCTTTAAATATCTAATGATCATCAAAATAGGCCGGCACAACCTTTCCCTATCATGTTCCGGCTTTACGTCTGCCAACACGAGCAACAAATCCAGCCTTGATTGGAGCAACCGATCTCCCAGAACCGTACTATAAGGATTCCAGGACAAAAATCCTCATATTAATTTCTAAAGCATTAAAGTCTATAGCAGTATAAATATAACTAGTTGAAATAATTTTCACAATTAGCAGATGGGAGAGGGACAAGCAAAAGAAACATGAACTGTAAAATATACAACAGCAACTCTAAACCATGAAAATATTACACAACAAAACCTCAGGTCAATTTTGGACGATTAATACTCCGAGAATCTTTTCACGGACAAAATTACAGAAAAATTCAAAAGAAAACCGCACTTGTTTGAGCTCTAGTTAATGAAGAACATGAACTTAAATTCAAAATTGATAAAGAGCTATTTAACCAATGAAAAGAGGAACACAAAAATTACTCACATTAATTTTGTATAATCGAGGCTCAGGATATTGAATCTTTTAGAAGACAATAATTCAGACAAATCAAAACAAAACCGCAACCGTTTGAGCTCCAACTAATGACGAACATGAACTCAAAATATATAAAAAAAAAATTGATAACGGGTCATTGTAGCCCATATAGATAGGGAAAATACAAGATATCACCGACTAATTTTTGGGCAATCGAGGCGCCAAGAATCACCTCTTGAAATATTAATGGCTGCGCTTCGGAAAATCTGGAAGCTCCGTTTGACGTATCGAAATATGCCATTTATGTGACTTAATCCCCAGACGAGAAATGGTTCTTCCATTAGTAGTGATACTGATGGAGGGTGGCCATGAAGTCCGTAATGAGCTCATCAACTCCAATCTTGTTTATCCAGTAATCAAATTATTTATACTGGCCTTGGGTGAAGTTGAAGTGCAGACCTGATTTTCATTCCGGAAGGTGCACGATTGAACCTGCATAGGCTGTAGTCGAAGGTGCAAGAACTGACTCTCATTCAGGAAGGTGTGCGGGTGAACCTGGGAACAAAGAGTGTCATGGGAAATTTTGAGAGCTAAAGAGAATTTCGCAATACTGAAAGTTCATCTAAAGTCACAGTGTTTTCCTTTCTTTTAACGTTGCAACTTGCGACATAGAAAACTCGGCCAATTAAATAATTTCCATGTGGCAAAAGAAGACATAAGCAGAGGGAGTGTTTACAAAACAAGACTAATCCTATTTAGTCAAAAGACAAGACATCCCAAGAAGGTGTCGGCTTAACTGATTTAACGCACAAATCAATAATTTCTAAGCATTTCATCAACATTGTACATCTACCTTGGTGATATGTTCATCAAATAAAATGAGTTGCTCGTTCAAGCTATAAAAATTATGAAGCACCTATGCTGAACAAATACATGGTGAATATCTTTAAATAGGCCCTTCAAGACAATATCCGCTCATTAATGCAGTGTAACAGGTGACATTTGGAACTACATGCTGCTGCTTCATGATTCCGATTACATCTTCTGCTTCATCCATCATTCCTTCCTTACATAAATCAACAATCAAGGTGGTGAACGTGACCACATCTGGATATATCTTGAAGAACACCATCTCCTTCATCAGCTTTTTTACTTCCTCCCAACGGCTTAAATTACACAAACCACCTATCAAAGAACTGTAAGTAACGACATCCGGCGGGATTCCCTTCTCGGGCATTTCGTTGAAAAGTTCCAAGGCGGAGTCTATCATTCTATCCTTACACAAGGTGCCAATAACATTGTTGTATATATGTGCATCGGGCTTGAGTGTCCCTTTTTCCATTGTTCTGAGGAATTCAACGGCCATTGAGGTGTTACCAACTTTGCAAAGCCCGTCGACCACAATACCACAAGTTACAATGCTTAGCTCACAAAGCCCTTCCAAAAGTAGGTGGCTGACTCGCAAAATTTTATTTTATCTACAAACTGCTACCTTAAAAGCAGAAAAAAGAATAAAGAAAGAAATGTTACTTGAAGGTTGGGGGCATGCGCTCTGGCTAAAAGATCGGTTGGCACTTGCAGATTTGGTGCGGTAACCAGTGTGTCCTTCCAGTGCCCAGTCCTGCTGACACATTCCTTAAAATAATCGAGATAATAGTCCGAGTAAAAGCAGGTTGTTTAAGCCACTGCTTTGAATCTTTGAGACATTGACAAATTGGAACCTTTGTACCAAAAATACTTCAGTGTTCCTATAAATTTATCCACGAACTTCTGACCTACTGACAACTTAACCTGTTGAGTAAAGGCATGTAAAAACGAGAAGGATTTCTTTCTTTCTTTTAATGATATCTTTTCATCATCAGATATGAATTTACATTAAAATTTTCATAGGGATTAGCATAAATATCTCGTTTTTTTATTAATAAATACTGGATTTTTTTTATAAGTGGATATATATTTTTTTTATT